AAGAGCAAATACATTTCCAGAATCATGTCATTTTAAATAGAACTTCCTTGAACCTTGAAAATATTTTTTTTAACTTAAAGACAAAATCATTATGGTCCTAGCAGTAATAATGTCAGTCAACCACTTCTCACCAATTCATTTCAAAATTGGTTCTCAAATATTCGTTATTATGTTCACAGGTTTTGAAGACACTGTACACATTATGTATCCTACTTTGGAATTACAGTCTTTCCTATAGGACCTGCATATAAGTAGGCATATGTATATCTTTCTTAAAATTATAATGTTTCTAAATGGAAACAGTTCATAAAAATGCAACCAGTTCCAGTAATGATAGAAATCTAATTCATCCTCTTTATATTAATTGCCACTCACTCTGCCTGAGAAAAAGGGAGGTTGATGGATCTAAGGGACGATTTTAAAGTTTAAAACCATGGGAAAATGCTGAGAAGACCCAACAGAGCCAGGTCAGTTGCAATTTGGAGAGGAAAGGGCTGCTTGGCACAGAAATGCCCTGAGTGACTTGGAAAGCATTGTGGGTATATGGGGAAAGCACTGTGGGTATATTTCTGCTTTCAGTACTTTTTTTCTTTAAAATCAGACTTCTCAGAATTTTGTCTTATTTATCTTTTCAAAGAATGATTTATTTATTTATTTTGTATTACCTTTTTTTTTTTTTTTTTTTTTTTTTTTTTTTTTTTTTTTTTTTTTTTTTTTTTTTTTTTTTTTTTTTTTTGAGATAGAGTCTCACTCTGTCGCCCAGGCTAGAGTGCAGTGGCGCGATCTCGGCTCACTGCAAGCTCCGCCTCCCGGGTTCATGCCATTCTCCTGCCTCAGCCTCCCAAGTAGCTGGGACTACAGGCGCCCGCCACCGCGCCCGGCTATTTTGTATTTTTAGTAGAGACGGGGTTTCACCGTGTTAGCCAGGATGGTCTCCATCTCCTGAACTCGTGATGCGCCCGCCTCGGCCTCCCAAAGTGCTGGGATTACGACTGGCCAAAAATTTTATTTTCGGTTCATCATCTGTTTTATTCTCCTTGTCACTGATTTCTCTTGTTATCTTTTTTTTTCTCCCCTCTCATTTCTTTACGCTGGGATTCTTTTTCCAATTTATCAAATTGAATGCTTTGCTTATTTGCACACAATCATTTTTCCCTTGATAAATGAATTTACAGTCCTAAATCGTTCTACGAATACCATGTTAGCAGTGTCTTGAAAACGCTAATAAGTAGTATTTTCAGTTCTAAGAATTGAAAGTTTCTCTTTTGATTTCTTTTTATATAGTGAGTTATTTGGCACTGTTAACAGGGTGTTAAAATTAAACCTTTCCTGTCTCCCAAGTTGACTGGGGCCTTAAAGCTTAAAGCAACAGATGCTGATCATACCTAGATTATTACAACAAGTGTTCAGAGCCTTTTCAATTACTGACTCATAAATACTCTAACTGGGAAGGTAAATTTTGCAATATCGAGGAAGCTGAAACTGCATATATATTCTGCAACACAGAAGAGCAGAGGAAGTTTGCTGCATTTTTAAAAATAATAGAATACTATAAATCAATATCAAAATGGAGAAATAATTTATAGCATATGTATGATGCAATATTCTATAACAAAAAATTATTAGAAACCCACATCTATCAATATGAATGAATTTCAAAAATACAATGCTGAGTGAAACGGCAAGTTCCAAAATATATGCATTATATAACACAGGCGAAAACAAAAATACAAGTTGAGTATCCCTTCTCCAAGCAGCTTGGGACCAGAAGTGTCTCAGATTTTTATTTTCTTAGGATTTTGGAATACTTGCATTATACTCACCAGCTGAGCATCCCAAATGCAAATATCTGAAATCCAAAATGTTCCAATAAGCACTTCCTTTGAGCATCAAGTCAGCACTTTAAAAGTTTTGGATTTTGGAGCATCTCAGATTACAGATTTTCCAATTAGAAAGATTCCAACATGTACAAAACAAAACAAAACCATAAAACAATGTTTTTTGTTTGTTTGTTTGTTTGTTTGTTTCCCCCGAGACAGAGTCTTGCTTGTTGCCCAGGCTGGAGTGCAGTGGCACTATCTCAGCTCATTGCAAGCTCCGCCTCCCGGGTTCACACCATTCTCCTGCCTCAGCCTCCTGAGTAGCTGGGACTACAGGCGCCCGCCACCGCGCCCAGTTGATTTTTTGTATTTGTAGTAGAGACGGGGTTTCCCCGTGTTAGTCAGGATGGTCTTGATCTCCTGACCTCATGATCCGCCCGCCTTGGCCTCCCAATGTGCTGGGATTACAAGTGTGAGCCACCGCGCCCAGCCTAAAACAATATTTTTTCCACTACTTTATGTTGTTTATGGCTTGAAAGAAAGACATAATGCAAATATAGAAAAACAATGACATAATAAATCAAGGTGGTTGGTACATGATGGCCTTCTATGTAATTTTTACGCTCATTTTGATTAGAACATAGTTTATATATATTTAATAATTTTAAACTGAAGTTTGTCACCATTATATTTTGTTTCAATCTCTTCTTTTAAAGAAAAAATGCTTGAAAATTAATTCTCAGCCATATTTACTTCTGGGTAAGTTTGCAGTTGTATATTTAATGTGCATGCATAGTACCCCGATATTGTAGGATTTTTCACTTTACAAATGTAAAAGAGAAATGGAAACCAAAGTAAACCTCTGTGGCTCTGGTATGCTGACTTTGTATGGTCCCTTTGGGAAGATCGTGTAGGACAACGGAAAAAGCCTGGAGTCAGAAGTCAAACCGACCTCAGGCCAAACCACACTTGTCATCTGAAGTGACCTAAGATAAATATTTTACCCTCTAGGAGCCTCAGTTTACTTATCTGTTAAGCAACGGCTAAATTTCAAAATTGTTGAAAGATTATTTAATTATGATACAAAGCAAGTGGGAAGTATTCCATCACTACTAGTTATTACTAACATTGTTAGTTATTTCCACAACTGCAATTACACCTATTTGTGTCAGAGATGATGTCTGAAGGAAATAAAAATATATTCTAAGAAATAAATGGACATCATAAGTTTAATAGCTAAAGAATTAATTAAAAAGTGGAGGTAAGGCATCTAGTTTAGTTTTATTTTTAAGTGATTTAACACAATTTTAATATGCTTGTGTCTTTTATGAGGCAGGAATTCACACCGAACCTAGTGGAGATGACTTGTCTTTGTTGCATGATGTCTGGAGATTCAGTTGGAGAAGCCTATAGGCTAGAAGTGAATGTTTGAATGTCCCTTTGCTTTTTTTCAAAGTAATTTTTCAGGTTTTGTTTTTTTTTTTTTTAGTGTCTACTACTCTAGGGCATTTTAGAATTAAAGTAGTATAAATGACTGTGAAAACTTACAGCTGTCAATTGAAGATCAACCAAAAATTAAGAGAAATCCCTAAAAGGATAATATAACTCAAACAAACAGAAAGAGTTGATTTTGACATCTGGTTTTAAGAACCTGGCTATTATGTAAAGTGGCAAATTTATTTGTGATTCGTGGGAAGAATATTTACTATCTTATATATAATTATTTTATTTATCATGATATGTACATCAGTATGTTACATATAGAAAAATCAGGACCTAGAAAACTAGATTGAGCTCATATTTGCTTTGTGGAAACAGACTATATACATGTACAACTAAAATACTCATCTGGTTTGTCTAGGCTTAATTTTATTTCTGTAGCTAATTAAAACTCTAATTTTCCAATAAGTCTGCCCACAGATAAATGGCCACTTTTTTAGCCATCCGTGGGTGGCTGACTCACCCTGGTTCGCAAGCCTCAATTCTGTATAAAAAGGAAATGGAAAAATATCCTGAATTGTAAGCAATCAAAATGCCATCAGAAACTAACAACACAGTTTAATTAAAAAGAAAAATCCATAGTAATTCATTTTTGTTCCTTTCCCCTCTTCACACAAGAAAATAAGAAGTAATACAGAGAAGCAATTAAAATGCAGTCTCCTTTTGCCCTCAGGGTGTGTGCCTCGAAACTTTGCCAATGAAATAATTAGCTCCAAATCTCTCATTTTTTTCCCCCTTCGTAATATTGAAATTGCTTCTGGTCTTCCTTCAGAAACAAAGCACTTCCTTTGCCTCTTTAGTTAACCCTAGGCTTCTAAGAATCTTTAGTAATCTCGTTATTCTATCAAAAGGCTAAGGCTGTGTGGTTACAAGGCCATTGTCACTATTTGATTAAGATCCCAGGTAAACTGAAAACCAGTCTAATTTCATGAACACACTGGATTTGTATAACCTCTGAGATGGACTGATTGGCCTGAAATTAAAGAGTAGGAGCTCATGAATATATCTGTCACCAGGAGAGATGATAGGAAGGTGGATTCACTGAGCATGAAGGCATCACACTGCTGTGGAACTTCAGCATGCATCCTACACTCTCACCATGATCAGACCTCAGAAGAAAGCACATGTACTGTTCTGATCTACGAACAAATGCTTTACTGCTTACCCACAGAGACTGCAACCACAACATGGGCAGCACCCAGCTTTAGCCAACAAAACCACGTGGCAATATTGGGTAGAGCACAAGTGCACAGGCTCAGGACTGAGGACCAATGAAACAGCAAGATAACGTGTTCACAAATGAAAAAACCACGTGTCACTTTCAAGCTACTCACGATCACTCTCATGCATATCTTTATGATGTGGCAAACAGGGACGTCTGATAAACGCTAGACTCCAGTAAAGAAGACCCTGGTGAGGTTTAAAGTATGGGGAGGTCCACATGCAAAGGGCTCAAGGTGGCTCAGGAGCAAGAGAAATGGAAGGTGGAGCTCCATGAAGAGTTTGGGGTAGATAAAAGTGAGCAAGTTGCATGGAATGTCAAACACAGAGTAGCACCTGCACGAGACAGCCTAAGCGCCATTGAAAAGAGAATCCTGCCCATTGGTGCACAGCCCACAGTACATCCTCTCCCAGCAATCACAGTGGCACAGAGGAAAAGAACAGCGAGAGGACTCTTACTGTAGCACGCGGGAGTGGCTGAGATCTTTCAGATCTGAGTCCTCATAATAGGGAGCTATCATCCCCAGCCCACTGTCACTCAGCATGCGTTTCCGCAGGGCAGGATTCCACCAGTCTGAGATCCTGAGAGAAAGAAGGGCACCAGACAGTTAAGCATTCAAAGTCAGCCACGTGACTTCATCTCCACTTTCTGAAGATGAATCTTGCCTGTAAATGTGAGGCAAAATTCATCATTATGAAATGTTTACCAGATACTACATATTTATGATTTCATTCACTTATCTCAACAATCATGAACTATTTGTATGATTCTGTCCCCTTTACAGATGAGAAAACTGATTTTCAAGATTAAGTCATTTTTAAATGTGACATGAATAAGAAGTAATAGACCTAGTGTAGAAATGCAGATTAGAAAATAACAAAGCCCCTCCTGTTTCACTGCTTCCCTGATCCTAGTTTAGTTCTGGGGAGGCAACTGGTGAGAAATAAGAAAGGCACTGATTCAAGTCCTGGTGGATTTTCAGGCTCCTTTATTTTTGGAGCTAGAGCTAACAGAGGTCTAGCCAGGCCAAAGCAATTCCTTTTGGCCATTATTTGACATGAAGAAAATGACCATACAAAAAATTAGCCGGGCATGGTGGCGGGCACCTGTAGTCCCAGCTACCCGGGAGGCTGAGGCAGGAGAATGGCATGAACCCAGGAGGCGGAGCTTGCAGTGAGCCGAGATTGCGCCACTGCACTCCAGCCTAGGCGACAGAGCGAGACTCCGTTTCAAAAAAAAAAAAAAAGAGAAAGAAAACTAAAAAGAAAAAGAGAATGACCAAGTGAGCAAAGACCAGGGCAGTTTGGCAGAATGGACTTTCTCCTTACTAGATCAAGAGTCAGAGGCCAGGTTAGGTGGGCTAACCTGGCTCTAGCACCTGCTGCTTCTGCAGTAGGACAGAACATTCTACCTCCTTTCCCCACTACTGATGGGTCTGACGCATGGATGTGCCCTGCGAAGGTGGCCTTCCCCACCACCTTTGGGGCTCCCAGGGGTGCATCAGGCTACCCCTTGTGCCTGTCAGTCTTCCCCCATGCTCTGACATCACGGCTCTGGCTTCCTGAGAACAGTTTTCTATCTGTTCTACACAGCCACTTGTGGCCTCTCTTGTCTCCCCCCAGACTTGGTACCTACTGGACATCAATTGCCCCTGGCAGAGTGAGAAACCACTCACAAATAGCAGCAGTGAAGCAAAAAAGTGAAAAAAAAGTAAATCAAGTGACAAGGGGAAAACAGGGATGAAGATGACATTGCAGTTGTGCTAGCCTAGTGGCCTGTTTATTCATACTGTATGAGGATGTGTATACCATTTGCATTAACTATTTGGGTATATTGTGTATGGTTTCTAGAGCAATTCTTATTTCAATAATTCAGGCCCCATAGACCAGCAAAACACTAAATTTCACAAGGGCAAAGATTCTTATCTGTTTTTATTTTTGTACTGTTATTCCTCAAGTGCTTACACTAAGACCTGGCACACAAAATTCTCTAAATAAATAGTTTTGAATTACTGAAATAACTTAGAAATATTAGTTATGTTTTGGTGGTGGAAGACGGTCATTAAATGCATGGGCTCTGGCATCAGGCAGCCCAGGACTGTATCTCATTTTTTCTACTTATTTTCTGTGAAATACTAGGCAAGTAACATAACCCTTTAGGTCTCAATTTTTTAATCTATGAATTAAGGATAATTGTTCCAAATTTTCAAGGTCACTGCGGGATGATGATGATGATGATTATTATTATAACATTCTATTTAATGCGTGTTTTAAAAATGCCAGGAATGACTTTAAGTGCTTTATCTGTATCAATTCTTTTAATCACCAAACAATTCTCTGAGTGAGGATTATTATTATTTGTATTTTACAGATGAGAAAATAAGCACAGAGCACTTAAGATGATTAAGTCACTATGAAGTGGTGGTAGAAATAGAAGAGAGACACAGGACAGAGCTCCTAAAAAGTGCTTGGTACATCATAGTTACTATACAATCTACATGTCTCCAGCAGCCTGGAAATAGCAAAGAGGAGGAAGAGGAGAAAAACTGTCAAATCACCTGTGTCAGTTTTTAATGTAGATAACAGAGTTACTACAAACGTGTAAGCACAAACACAAGTACTAGTGTTTTCTAGGTTTGTTAGGAAGAGTTGCTGTGATGGAGAAAGAAGGCTTGGACATGGTGCAAATCTGGTTTTGTGTTTCTACACGCCCATTCATAAGACAGACTTATAATAACCACTCTAAGGAAACCCAACAAGAAAATCTACATTTCAAAATCATTTGATGTCATTAGAATGATGTCAAGTTCAAAGGCGAACCAGACATGGATGTCACCCTGAGGCCAGCCTCAGAGGCAAGGAGAGGCACACTCACCCCGAGGCTTGCTCCACCACCAGGTCAGGCATGCCCGGAGGTGTCCCCGCTGGCTGTGACACCACCATATCTGGGTCCAGAATAAAAATCTCATCTTGGGAAATCTCCATCACAAAGTGCAAATGTTCCTAAGGAAGAACAAGAAGTCTGTTGCATGAAGAATAACAAAACAAGTATTCTTGATCTCGAGGAATAATGAAATTCTCCAACATGTCAAAGGATCACAGTGTGTTGTCAGAGCTTGATCAGTTGGTGATCCTCCCCAAAGCTGTGCTATGGCAGGCAGTGGGAGGTGGGGAGAGATGAATCCCCTTGGTTCAGGATTTCCAATTAATCAGGATTTTTTTTAGGTATATCTAGAAATGGTCTTGCCTATCTTCCCAAATAATATTAGAGAAGTGACACCCACATACCATTGACCCAGTGAGAGTGTATGATAGCCTGGACTTCCACCCCATCATCTGGTCAAAGCTAAGCAGCATGGTTAACATCTTTATCATTAGGTTCAATACTGTACATTTTTTTTCTAGGATAATTCAGATAATGGGAGGACTTCTTAACTTGGGCAAAACCATATTTTTTTCTCATCGCTGGCCTCTATGGATTGGCGAACTGAAACTAAGTAGTCTAGTTATATACTTGGGACCTCAAACTTGCTAAACAGAAATGAGCTTAAAAAGACATACAAAATTTGGCTAAGAAGGAGTAAAAATATCTTTGTGAATGAAAATTTGCAGTATAGGCTGGTGATAATGTCTACAAGTCGACTTATTTTCTGTACTTATTTGCAAGATCAAGCCATACCATCTTGAGTCCATAAATCATAAAACATGTGAAGATAAATAAAAGATTCATAGCTTAGGTTATGAACACCATTCCAAAATTTGTAAGTGTCTCAGTGTGTTTTGTTAGAAAAATTTATGAGATTAGCTACCAATAAAGTACATTAACTTGGGAATTTTTCACTTTTACAAGCAGACTGGAAAAAAACTTACCTGAGATCTGTCTATTCGATAAAAGCGATCAGCAGAAGTTGCTAGGGGGGAAAAAAAATGCAGATGGCATTCAGAATGTTCTGTAATCTGGCATCAAATTTATAACCTTCTCTTCAACTATGCTGGTCAAAACCCCTACATGATGGTCGTGCTAGTCTCCTGGCCAGTCCCTAAATCTATTAAGAAAACGTCAGCACTTCCATGCCTCTGCCACTGCTATTCTAAGGCTTAGAAAGCCCTGCCCATTGCCTCTGCCATCTAAATCATACTTGTCTTTAAAGAACCAGCTCAAATGCTTCTGCTTCTGTAAAACCTTTCTCAGTCCCAACCTCCCTACCCCAGACAGAATGTATTGACCCTGCCACCATACACATTTACATTTTTTAAAACTTCTTAATCAGACTATCTTCTCAGATAACCATGAAACTAAGAGACCTTGCCTCTTTAAAAATCTGTTTCATTTAATCTTTTATGCCTCCTGAAATTAGCACAGGATCTTAAAGAAAGTCAGGAATTGCTATGTATTTATTAAGTAAATAAAGCTAGAAAAAGCTACAGTTACGTAGACTTCTCAGGGAAGTGACTTCCCATTTTGGAAAACGGCTTGAAGATTCAGGTCAGGGACCATATGTGGTCTTAAATGAATCATTTTACTTTCTTTTTTTTTATTATTATTATTTTTTTATTATACTTTAAGTTCTAGGGTACATGTGCATAACGTGCAGGTTTGTTACATATGTATACTTGTGCCATCTTGCTGTGCTGCACCCATCAACCTGCATCCTTAGAGCCATGTCTGAAGGAAGCCAAAACAGCAAAAAAAAATTATTTAAGCATTCTCTAAAAGAGATTGAGCTGCATCTATGGTATGAGAAAAAAAAAACACCTAAATTAGAAATTTTGGGTTTCTAGAAATTATTTTAAATATTCTTAATATTAGAAAGAACTATCAGTTGCCTTTCGGGAAGCTCAGGTGGGAGAACTGCTTGAAGCCAGGAGTCTGAGACCAGCCTGGGCAACAAAGCAAGACTTCATCTCTACAAAAACAATTTTTTTTTAATTAGCTGGGGATAGTGGCATGCCCCTGTGGTCCCAGGTACTTGGGAGGCTGAGGTGGGAGCATTGCCTGAGCCCAGGAGTTCAAGGTTGCAGTGAACCATGATCATGCCACTGCACTCCAGCCTGGGCAACAGAGCCAGACTCCCATCTCAAAAAAAAAAAAAAAAAAAAAAATCAAACCAAAAAGAATGATGTGCTTCTCACATCTATCTAACAAAACCCAAATATTATAAATAGATTTTCTACAAAACAAACAGCACAAGAAAGAAAAACTCAAAATGCATGTAATTATTTTAAATTCACAAACACTTAATGAGTAGCTTCTCTCCAAAGGGGACTGAACTAAGAAACCAGCCAATCATCGTCCCTGCTCTCTAAAATCTAAGAATAGAATAAAATCTGCCTTGGAGAAATTCACTCTATTTTGTTCTTTTAAACCATGACTGCAATTATCTTTCAAAGGTTTTTTTAATAAACCTATGGAGTGAAACTACATCTGGGTTAAGACTGTTAGCCACAACAGTTGTAGTTTTATCTAAGACTTTAGATAGAACATAACATAAATATTTTCATAATTTTCTGAAATACATGTTGTTCCTCTGCAAATTCAGGAATGACAAATGATTATGTTTCTCATTGCTATGGAATAAAGAAGGTGGAGGAAAGTCCCCAGAGGCAGCTGACGAGACACAAACAAAAACTTGCATCATGATTTATGTGGGTTAGATCTCATATAAATACAAGTGTCCATCTTCATAACACTAGAAAAATATGCATATGGCATTTAAAGTGTTCTGTGATCTGGCACCAAAGTTATAACCTTCTCTTCCACTATGCCAGTTAAAACCCTTACATTCCAGTCATGCTAGGCTACTGGACAGTCCTTAAATCTTAATAGATCTCTGCTGCTGCCATCCTAATGCTTGTTCATACACTCACAAATCCTGTCATACTCATATTCATGTTTACATCCTCTCAGATGCTCACCCAGATAAACAAAAAAGAGGTCTACGATGAAAACCGTGTCTCCATATGAACAAGAGAGAGAATGAGTAGTAGATACACTGGGTAGTATGTACGCATGAATATACAGAGGTGAGAAGGTGTGCAATATGGGTAATTGGATAGAAATGTAATATCAGGCAGCATCTAGGAGACAGATATTTGAGATAAAAACAGACTCATTAAACAACCATAAAATAACTAACGTGTTATGCATGCAATATGTCATGCTGATCCAAGCAGATGTGAATGCAACTGAATTTTTCTACCTTTCTCCAGAAATGTATACATCATACTGCAATAATGGTCTCATAAAAATAATATGAATGTTCCATAAGATGCAAACAACATAGAAATTAGTATCCATCCTATGCTTATAGAATCCAGCTACTGGTCTGAATTAATTTAAGGCAGGCAGTCAAGTTTTAAGAAACGAGGGCTGATGAAAAGGAAACATCAGCCTGAGCAACTTGATGCTGAGTTCAGCCAGAGTTAACCAAGCTGTGTTGAGGGAAATGACTTCAGGAAAAGACAGTGCAACATTAGTAGGCCCACATTGTTCCGCATGCAAAAACCAGCCATGTGGAGTCACAAGAAAGCTTTCTGAATAATCTTTTGGAAAACTAGAGTCCCCCCTATCAATTGATGCCTTGCTCTTCAACTTCCCCAACTCCCATGATACCCACAAGAAATGCAGAACTCACCATCTAGGAAGCACCACCGAGGGGAGAGCCTCTGTGCTGAGAGAGCCCTGGGGAAGGAGGTTTCATGGTCCTGGAAAGAGACACACACACACATTCTAGTGGCTCCATTTCAATAACCGGATGGGCTTCCCCCACTCAGCATTCTGCCATCCTTTCCTACATAAAGCACTGGTGAGAAGACCAAATCACATTTTTTTTTCTCTAGGAACAGAAAGAAGGGCTCTGCTTTGAAATTCTTTCACATAGAACTTTTAAAAATAACTCCCTCATAAAATTACCAGGAGGTTTACAATTATTCCATTAAATATTTTCTATCATTCCATTAAACATAAATAATCTATTTTAGGACATTTACTTCTTATGGGAATTTCTTTCTTTCCCTTTGTGAAGCCAAGGAACGAGTGATAGCTGGCTGTCATTGACACCTAGGTCTAAGGCACTGGCACAGAATGAGAATGAATCAAACGTTATCTACTGGCCACATGGGACATACAGTACGTGAGAAAAAGCAGCAGCGATCCATACACAGGGGCTGTTCATCTACATGGAAACAAAACCAACCTTACACCTTGAGGTCATCTCTAACCTCAGCCTTCTCCACTGAACCCAATTACAGAGGAGTAGACAAGGAAGAAAAGTAGTGCCAGGTTAACCCATGACAAAATCACTCTGTCCAACACTCACCCAAACTGCAACGTGCTCATTCACCTGAGCATTTTCTAGGCGTCTCACATCTGTGACCTCCCAATTACCCCTCCCTATTTAATATCAAGTCTGCCTGACATAACTGCCATCATTCTTTCCTCTGGGTTTGGATAAAAATATGTCTTTTTTCTTCAAAGCCAATCACCTAATTTAGACTCTAGACTTTCTTTCTCCTTTGAACTTTATTTCTGTAGCATTATTAAAATCCACTCATTAATTCTTCTGCTCTCAATAGTTCCCTCTCTTCCAAAATAAATTCCCCTCAGCTGATCTTGTTACATCTATTTTTTATTGCTATTTTATTTATATTTTATTTTTTGAGACAGGGTCTCACTCTGTCTTCCAGGCTGGAGTGAAGTGGTGTGATCATGGCAGTGCAGTGGTGTGATCATGGCTCACCATAGCCTCGGTTTCCTGGGCTCAGGTGATCCTCCAGCCTCAGCCTCCCAAGTAGCTGAAACTGAAGTTGATACATCTTTTGAAAATCTTCTTAAACTCTCCTTTCTTGCCCTTCCAAACTCCTGAAGCTTATGTTTATTATCTCTTGCTCCAAGTCTCACTTACACACCTCAGACATGACCTCTAGAAGCCTGGCCTCTGACCTCCCGGGCTTTGAAAAACTGCCCTTTCAAGAGATTGCCAGGACTGGCTTGCTTCCCTGATTTACTACAATTCTCAGTTCCCAAACTTCCTTGAAGTCTCAGAAGCTTTTATTTCTTATAAAGAATTAAGGCTATATCCACGAAACAGAAGAGAGAACTGGCAGATTGAAAACTGAAACGATTTTCTCTTTCGGATTCCAAACTTTTAAAAATTAAACATTTTCTCTACTAAGAGAAGCCTGCCAATGATAACCGGGGAGGAAGGAGAGCACCTTCTAGTTTACAACACGTGATTTGGAGCATTCTAGCCCTGGTTTGCAGTGGAATTGAAATCACTGACAGAAATGGGACAAATGAGGGAGGCCAGGTCTCTGAGGGGAAGACACTGGGAGTCTGGCCCTTATTAGGGATTTGAAATATTCAAATGTAGGGAGCAACATTGGGGTGTGACTGTGCAGGCAGCAATAAAGGCGTGGCAGCTGAAGCTGCAGGTGTGGATGATCTTGTGTGTACAGAGGGGACAGGAGAAGAAAACAGGAATAACATAGAAGAAGTAATAAGGACCCAATCAGAGGTTGTACTGACTTTCTTGGTAGTTACTCAACACTCCCTGCTGCCCTACTTGATCCTCAAATAAAGCCTGGGCTTAAATCACTTGTTCTCAAAGTGTGCATCAGCTGGAAACTTGTCAGAAGCACACATTTCCAGGGCCCATCCCAGGTCTACAGAAGCACTATGGGTGGAGCCCCGCAATGTGTTTTAACAAGCCTTTCAGATGAGTCTGAGGATGTATGTGAAAGAACCTAACATTACCAAACAAAAGGGAGGTATCTTAGTAAACTAGAAACCTTGAGTGTATGGAGTTTTACTCTAAATGAATTCTGTGAATTAAATAATTGATAGAGGAAAAACTGGTCTCATCCAGGAATGCTACCAAAATCTGTATTTATAAATATAAAATATATCCTTATAGCTATAGATACACAGATACTATATAATATATATAGAAAAAAATATGTTGGGGGGGTAGACAAGATGGCCGAATAAGGAACAGCTCCAGTCTCCAACTCCCAAGTATGAAAGCGACACAGAGAGAACCGGTGATTTCTGCATTTTCAACACAGTACTGGGTTCATCTCACTGGGAGTGCCAGACGATCGGTGCTGGTCAGCTGCAGCCCCAGCCAGCGAGAGCTGAAGCAGGGCAAGACATTGCCTCACCTGGAAAGCGCAAGGGGAAGGGAATCCCTTTTCTAGCCAGGAAACTGAGACACACAACACCTGGAAAATCCGAGTAACTCCACCCCAATACTGCGCTTAGCAAACAGGCCTGGAGAACATGTATCCCACACCTGGCTGGGGTCCCACACCCACGGGCCTCCCTCATTGCCCTCTTTAGCAGTCTGTGATCTGCCGGCAAGGCAGCAGCGGAGGCTGGGGAGGGGGCGCCCGCCATTGCTGAGGCTTAAGTGAGTAAACAAAGCCTCTGGGAAGCGCCTCGAACTGGGTGGAGCTCACAGCAGCTCAAGAAACCTGCCTGTCTCTGTAGACTCCACCTCTGGGGACAGGGCACAATAAACAATAACAAACGCAGCAGCTCTGCAGGCATAAGCGACTCTGTCTGACAGCTTTGAAGAGAGCAGTGGATCTCCCAACACGGAGGTTGAGATCTGAGAAGGACAGACTCCTGCTCAGGAGTGGGTCCCTGACCCCTGAGTAGCCTAACTTGAGAGACATCCCCCCACTAGGGAGCAGTCTGACACCCACACCTCACAGAGGTAAGTACACCCCCTGAGAGAGGAAGCTTCCAAAGCAAGAATCAGACAGGTACACTGCGCAGTTCAGAAATATACTATCTTCTGCAGCCTCTGCTGTGCAGGTGGCTGATGGATCTGGAGTGGACATAAGCAATCTCCTACAACTACAACCTACAGCTGAGATCCTACTGACTGTTGGGAAAGCTATCAAACAGGAAGGACACCTACACCAAAACCCCCATCAGTACATCACCATCATCAAAGACCAGAGAGGCAGATAAAAAACCACAAAGATGGGGAAAAAGCAGGGCAAAAGCTGGAAATTCAAAAGCCGGCCCGGATCTCCCCGGCAAGGGCGCAGCTCATCGTCAACAACGGATCAAAGCTGGACGGAGAATGACTTACGGCAGATGAAGAAGGCTTCCAGTCATCAAATTTCTCAGAGCTAAAGGAGAATTAAGTACCCATGCAAAGAAAATAAAAATCTTGAAAAAAGTGGAAGAATTGATGGCTAGAGTAATTAATGCAGAGAAGCTCACAAGCGAAATGAAGAGCCGAAAACCATGGCACGAAATACGTGACAAATGCACAAAGCTTCAGTAACAGAGCTCGATCAACTGGAAGAAAGAATGTCAGCGTTGAGGATCAAATGAATGAAATGAAGCGAGAGAAAACCAAAAGAAAAGAAGAAAAGTAGACAAAGCCTGCAAGAGTATGGGATTATGTAAAAAGACCAAATCTACGTCTGATTGGGGTACCTGAAAGTGAGGGGGAAAATGGAACCAAGTTGGAAAACACTCTTCAGGATATCATCAGGAGAACTTCCCCAACCTAGTAGGGCAGGCCAACATTCAAATCCAGGAATACAGAGAACACCACAAAGATACTCCTCGAGAAGAGCAACTCCAAGACACATAGTGCCAGATTCACACCAAAGTTGAAATGAAGGAAAAATCTTAGGGCAGCCAGAGAGAAAGGTCGGGTTACCCACAAAGGAAGCCCATCAGACTAAGAGCAGATCTCTCAGCAGAAACTCTTCAAGCCAGAAGAGAGTAGGGGCCAATATTCAACATTCTTAAAAGAAAAGAATTTTAAACCCAGAATTTCATATCCAGCCAAACTAAGTTTCATAAGTGAAGGAGAAATAAAATCCTTTACAGATAAGCAAATGCTTAGAGATTTTGTCACCACTAGGCCTGCCTTACAAGAGACCTGAAGGAAGCACTAAACATGGAAAGGAACAACCGGTACCAGCCATTGCAAAAACATGCCAAAATGTAAAGACCATCAAGGCTAGGGAGAAACTGCATCAACTAACGAGCAAAATAACCAGTTAATATCATAATGGCAAGGATCAGTTCACACATATAATCTTAACCTTAAATGTAAATGGACTAAATGCTCCAATTAAAAGACACAGACGGCAAACTGGATAAAGTCCAAAGACCCATCAGTCTGCTGTATTCAGGAGACCCATCTCACATGCAGGGACATACATAGGCTCAAAATAAAGGGATGGAGGAAGATTTACCAAGCAAATGGAGAACAAAAAAAGCGGGGGTTGCAATACTAGTCTCTGATAAAACAGACTTTAAACCATCAAAGATCAAAGAGACAAAGAAGGCCATTACATAATGGTAAAGGGATCAATTCAACAGGAAAGAGCTAACTATCTAAATATATATACCCAATACAGGAGCACCCAGATTCATAAAGCAAGTCCTTGAGACTTACAAAAGGAACAAGAACTCCCATACAATAATAATAGGAGACTTCCAGCACTCCACTGTCAACATTAGACGGATCAACGAGACAGAAAGTTAACAAGGATATCCAGGAATTGAACTCATCTCTGCAGCAAGCAGACCTAATAGACATCTATAGAACTCTCCACCCCAAATCAACAGAATATACATTCTTCTCCAGCACCACATCATGCCACTCCCAAAATTGACCACGTAATTGGAAGTAAAGCACTCCTCAGCAAATGTACAAGAACAGAAATTA